TCACATAAGTTTACAGCCAAGAAATCAAAACTTTGACACATTTAGTGGTAGTGACTTTCAAATATTTCCTAATACGTATTAATCAAACGTCAAAAGGAATGTAGGAAATGAGATAGACAACTTAGTTAAAAGACGTTAGCTAAAGACAGGAGAGAACTCAGAATACTCCACCTGAAAATGTCCTGATTATTGTAAACGTTTTCCGGAACATCGGCCTTCCATCAAACATTGTTGAACCAGCCACCGTCTACGTACGGTACCTACCTAAGTTGTACAAGCCACCATTGCAGAGCTTGCCCGGCAAACTGGGAATTTGGATCTCTTCTGATTAGAATATTGCATGGAAAAAGCAATGTTGAAGGAGCATAATGTAGCCCATCCATCTTCTGCTCTCTATATATAACAAGCTCTGTAAGGAACCTAGCACCAATCACTAAAGCACATATTCAAGAAACCAACACTTGTACAACGACTTCATCTTTGAAAATGAAAACGGTGATTGCTTTCTTGTTCCTTTTGGGATTGTTGGCAATTCAATCTGTGGCATTACGCACACTAAACGATGAGGCCATGGTAGAGAGACATGAGCAGTGGATGAGTCTCCATGGCCGTGTATACACCGACGATGCAGAGAAGGAAAGGCGATTCCAGATATTCAAGAAAAATGTAGAGTTCATCGAAGCTTTTAACCAGGCTGGAAAGCGGCCTTACAAGCTTGGTGTCAATCAATTTGCAGACCTTACCAATGAGGAATTCAAAGCCTCGCGTAATGGATTTAAAGCTTCCTCCTCACTTAAGTTGATCAGAGGTGCATCTTTCAAGTATGAAAATGTGACTGCTGTGCCTGCCACCATGGACTGGAGGAAAAAAGGTGCAGTCACTCCAATTAAGGATCAAGGACAATGTGGTAAGACGGCTACGCAATGTATACAAATGGACTAGTACTAGCATTCTTAAATAATTGCAGAATTAGTGATCATTTGAAAGTGATAAGACTTCTCATACACTATGCTCCTGATTCACAGGAAGTTGCTGGGCATTCTCAGCAATTGCAGCCACTGAAGGAATTACCAAACTCAGTACAGGAAAGTTGACATCACTCTCTGAGCAAGAAATAGTGGATTGTGACAGAACAAGTCAAGATCAGGGATGCAACGGTGGAGAAATGGAAGATGCCTTTGCATTCATAGTGAAAAACAAAGGAATTGCCTCTGAAGCAACTTACCCCTACACAGCAGCTGATGGAACTTGCAGCAAAACTAAAGAAGCTTCTCACGCAGCCAAAATCGCAGGTTATGAAAAGGTACCTGCAAACAATGAGGCAGCATTATTGAAAGCGGTGGCTAATCAACCAGTTTCAGTTTCCATCGATGCGAGTGGCATGGCTTTCCAATTCTATACAAGTGGAGTTTTTACTGGAGACTGTGGAACTGATCTAGACCATGGTGTTACTGCTGTAGGATATGGCAAGGCCTCTAATGGTACCAAATATTGGCTGGTAAAGAACTCATGGGGCACAAGCTGGGGTGAGAGTGGATACATAAGGATGCAACGTGGCATTTCTGCCAAAGAAGGCCTCTGTGGCATTGCTATGGATTCTTCCTATCCAACTGCTTAAGTATGGGGTGAATCTCACTCTTGATTATTCCAGTGGCTCTTGATTATTCCAGTGGCTCTTGATTATTCCAGTTGTTTAGTATTGGTTTGTCAATGTTACTCCTTTTAAATCATGTAATTTTAGTAAAGCAGTCCTATGTATACTATGTACATAAACTTCATAAATGAAAGAGCCAGCGCTGTTACTATTTGTCAGAATTTTCCACAAGCTTTAAATCTGATACCAAATTGGTGTTGATAGTGTGAATTTGTAATCTATAAGTATTGTAGCTATAAGAGTAAAAGTATTGAACAAGAACAGCATATATCTTTCCGCAAGAAGTCCAAAATATTCTGCTTTTTTGTTTTTTCCTTTTCTTGTAGAGCTTGAATTTGAATATTGCAAGAGCAGTACTTGATGTGTCAAGTTAGAATTCGTAACTGCCTCTTCAATCCCAATCAAGAACCACATTGCAGCATTTTTCTTGACTTAGCAATCGAATAAGATTAATAATGCAAGATAGAAACTGATGCTTTCGAAATCCCCATCTCACGATTCTCACCCAACATTTTTAACTTAATGCATTTGATTACCTATCTCTTGCAGCTTGATTTACTGATCTTTATATTCAGCATATCTTCCTTCATTTAAATTTGGGTGAATTACTAATAATCCCCTATAGTTTCATCTATTGTTACATGACCTCCCTAACATTTTAATATATCTACTTCACCCCGCCATGGTTTCATATAAACTAAAAATCTAACGAAAAAATAACCTATATAACGTTATTAGTTGAAATACCAGTAGTGTCCTTACTTAAATGATAAATCAAATGACTTAACCACCTTTACAAAATCATAAGAGATTACGTGGATAAATACAAAAAAATAATAGGAGCAAAGTAGATATTTATACAAATTATAGGGAGTTAAGTGGACAATATGATTTCATGACACGCACTTTTGGAGAGTAAGTGGTTTAATCGTTGTGACTAATTATGCATTCCGTTCATTTTCTACTTTATATAAAATTATAGGGGATTATATGACTATTTTAAAACTTTAGAAAGGTCATCTGACATTATGCATAATTACAAGAGGTCATATATAATTTACCCTTTAAATTTTGATAGAAATTCAAGTTTGTTTAATCTCTTCAACACTAGCTACCTTACAACCCATACTAAATCCTCAAACCCAAAAGAGGGATGAACATTTAGTGCCAAAAAATTATTCAAGAAAACATAAGGTTCCATTATTTGCTACTAACAAATAGGAAGAGAATAATTGTTTGTAAAACCAAATACAAGTTTAATCTTGCTAATCAGAAAAACATAAATTTATCAAGACACAAGCAAGTTTTTAAAATCTTTAAACAAAGAAATTACTTGAAACAACAGTATAAGATCGAAACTTGAGAGACGAAATAGAAGGTTAGATGTGATTCCCATATCTAAATCAATCATGCTCTAAAGGCAGCAGAACTTGTGCATTTGGTTAGCGGACATTCAGAAGGGATAATACGAGAAACTCTCTTGAGGTTTCTTTTAATATCATTTAGAAAATTTTAAAATGTCACTTACCACCCATACTTTCATTATTTGTGGAACAAAATTTTTTAACAAAAATCCTAAACTGCCCTTTTCTCCTAAACCACTTTGTTTACTTCAAGAAAAACTATTAACTAAAAAACAAACTCTAATAGTACCATTACATTTTAAAGCTATAGTCCATAAAAATACAAATTTAGAAAATAAAAAATATTTGTAAAGAAATACGTCAACACCAATTCAACTCTATAAATTTAAAATCGATTTCTTGTGAACCCTTTTTTCCCCGACCTCCTCTCAACTGTTGGTCCAAGCCTTTAAGTTGTATTAAATCATTATAAAGATCAACTCAAAATAAATAAAGAAAACATACAACATTTTATCATAATCACAAAAAAGAAAAAGATAACCAAAATTCAATTTACCATAATTTACAACCAAAAAAATACATAGTCATATAAAAAAATGAGTAAAAGAGAGCGTTGGAGAAATGGGAAAAAGAAGAAGTGACTTTTGTTTCTTTTTCTTTAATTTTTTAAGCTCCATTTATTTATTTAATATGTGAATTATGTATCAAGTGAGGGTTAATATAGTCATTTTGCAATTACAAGGGGAGAAAAGTGATATTTTTAAAATCTTAGGGTGCTAAGTGATATTAAGAAAAACCTCAAGGGAGGTTTCTAATATTATCCCTATTGAGAATCCTGATTTTTGAATTTTAAGCGCGTGAGTTTGCATACGGTTTCAACTACTTTAGGTAATGGGAGTTTGATAGTTTCTGAAAGCGCGAGTTTTCTATGTCAATCATGTATGCGCCTTCAACAGCAGGAAACATACAAGCTGGCGCGATTTGAACAGCAATTCCTCCAAGGCTGGCTTTCCAAGGCGTGCTTGTCTTGGCAATATATATAACGCCTTTATATTAGCCCATAAAGAAGCTGTTTTGTTCTATCACCCATCCCTGAATCTGGCACTTGGAAGAGTTTATTAGTGACTACTTACCTAGCTTCGGTGGTTGGCTGTAGCAGAAATGTTTGCATGTAGAAACTCAAGTTGGCAAGGCCGATGAGGCTCCGTTTGTTTGACAAGAAAGTCGTGCAAGAAAGTGCATCGCGAGAAAAGTGAGGTGAAGTAATGTAAAAAAAAGAAACTAAATTTTCCTGTATGTGTTTGATAAACAAGAAAATAGTGTAGAGAAATTTGAATTATTGTTTTTAAATTTGAATGTTACAGGAAAATTGTTTAAATTTCTTGGATAGATACTATCGAAGTACTAGTACATTGATTAGAAACCAACGCATTGAAATATAAAAATACATTCATTTGCTAAAAGATTACCTAAGAGGAGCATAAAATATGTAATAACGTATTTAATTGCAAAATTATTTCAAAAAATAAATAAATAAAAACCAACATGAAAATAAAGTTGAATGCATATACTTTTATGCTGTTACATCTAAGTAATTTATTCAAACACTATCTAAGAGTAAAGGTCTAAGCATTGATTTGAGTGCTTGACATATAGAAAAAAGATATTGAAACATTCATGCTTTATAGGTAGAATTAGCCAAAAATGGAAACTCAAATAAACAGAATCAAAGGTTTGACTTCTGTTCAGAAAAAGCAGAATTAGATGGTGTAGATATGATACGAGCGCTTAGAGTCCTAGACTAAAGTTTCTCTGTTTGCACCTGTAAGTAGCAAAGTTATATCCAAAAGAAACTTCTAAAGAAATTGGTTAAGAGTAGGCGAATAACTACTCATGAGCCATGACTATTTTCTTAACTCAATTGCATAAATGTACTTCCACATTCAACTGGTGAAATGCACGATACACAACAAAGCTCAACCTCTGCAACTTTTGCCGCAAGGGGACAAAATTACTCATTCCTTGGAGCAGTGCAGTAGAAGACAGGCACTGCTAAAGAACTCTGCTCAAATTAGCACCAACTTGTGTAGATCTTATGATCAAAGCAGTTTTATTAGAAAGCAAATGAAAGTGATACAAGGACCCTTCTCATTATTCCCCCCACACACACAAGGCTCACTCTTACTGCCCGCCCACCCACATTCTCCCCAGCAATAAGAAAGCTACGTCTAACTAATGCGTCACCAAACACAAGGGGCAGCCTCAAGCATGAATCCCCATCGTAACAGCGATTTCCCCCCACTACCTACCTAATGGAACCAACTAATTTAGACGTCAATTCCAATAGTCCATCTATGCATCTCCTCCTTTGGAACTGGAATGTCGATAGCCACCAATCCTGTTGTCGCTTCATAGGTAAAGTCAGTCTCAGCACCATCCACTGAGCATTTTAGCGGGCGCTGAGAAGAGTAAGCTCCAAACGGGCCACATCCCCTCACTTTAAGTATGATCTTTGCCGTTGGTGATCTCTTTTCACTAAGAGAACCAGAGATCTCAGACGTAGCCTCACCGGCAAAAATCTCTGCTTTGCTGTCTGAAGTCGGTTGGACCTCAAACTGCTCAACAGCACCACCGCTGTTGAACATGTTGAGCAGACCAATTGGTGCGAAGGAAATGTTTGCAGCAATTTCCTGCATGATTTATCATCCATTGGTATCTCCAACTATATAGAATGTACATAGCATCATTAAGAAGGAAATGCACTCTTTTTGAAGGCTCACCTTCACAGGACAGAAGTGGAAGAGTTCATATTCAAGAATTTTGAGTGTCACAGGAAGAGAAGCACCTTTTGGTAGCCGCATTACCTCCCCTGCGTTTCAGTTCAAGGATTATTCTCAGAGTCAGGTTTACAATTGATTGTTAAGGGAAAATAAGGTGGTGAAAACGAACAATGGATAAAAAAGCCAAGTACCTGATCTTTGGGCATAGACTACTGTTTCCCCATCCCAGTTTGGGCCAGCAATTTGAGATATGGGGTCAACATCACTGGCTTGAACAGAACCAGTAAGGGTGCCAGGAGAAGCATCATGGATACGTGTCTTCTTTGTGATTTTGCACCAACCAGCACCTTGGCAGTTGAAAACACCAACAACACCAGTGCATTTGTTCACATTCCAAATCTTAAGCAAGCTGCATTATTTTTTTTTTTTTTTTTGAAGTAAATATTACTTGTAATAAATAATACTGCATGATTCTGGGTATAATAAAATGTTCAGATCGAATAGCAAACCTTTTCCCATCTCTGGCTGGATCAACAAAGAGGCAGTCACGTGTAGGCCGCCCAGGCAACTGTGCCCGAAGGACAGAACCATCAGGTAGGACCAGCTTCTTCAAAAGCTCAAAGTTGTGATTGCCAGGCTTGTCACTGAATATCGAAAGACAACATGAGCATTAACACATAGGTCCTAAAAATTAATGAAACCAGAATGATGATTCAGGTGAGGACACAAGTATTTACCTGACATAGATTGCACATCCTCCAACAGCTCGAGCTGCAGCATGGTAGTCGGCAGCAGGGTGTAAGCTCTGCATCACAGATTGTCATCAGTATTGCAGTTGGTTACATGGTAATGATGTGTAAGACAGTAAGAGTTCATTTATCAGCTTCTCATCTGCCAATCTTTAACTGGAGAGAGATTTAACTTAGCATAATACTCACATGGAACATATCCCAATCAGGTTGCATGAATTCTCCAAGGAATAAAGAGTTGTAGGCAACAGATGAAATGTGTATGGTGTGGGAAGCAGGGTCACGAGGGTAAAAGTCATCAGAAGCTCTGACAACAGCAGTCTGCTTGGCATTGTAGATCCCATCAGTATTATGACACATGCAGGCAATACATCCATTGTCAGGGAAGTTCCGTGCCACAGAAGCTTCAAGGGCCTGGTGATAGCTGCGAGTCAGAGAAACTCTACCACCATGGCCAGCACCGAGGGTCTCAATAATGTTCTGCACATCAACTTTAACACCATCTACTCCACAAGAAGCCAGGTATGAATGAAGCTCATTATAGAAGTTGAACACCTTCTTTGGGTGGACCAGACCCAAACCATGGACAGCAAGACTATCCATGACTATATCTGGTTGGTTACCCATCACACCTGGAGATGACACGGGGTATGCCAAAGCAGAGTCATAGTGCTCCAAGCCTGCACCAGCTGGTTGTACTCCACCCCAGTAACCTGCTAGAGCATGCCACACATAGACGTACCTGCACCATATTAGAAATAGACTGAGTAAACAGCATCCAATAAATTAAGCAACTGTATAAACTTGTGTATGGAAACATGGCCAGACATATTTCTTCAACAGTCTAGAAGACCATCAAAAGATAATTTCATGTACTTGCCAGAATTGTTTTTAGGTAAAAAGGAAAATGATTGCATGCATTGCCATTTACATAGAAGAACTACAAAGGAAAAATGTAACAAAGAAGAAATGAAATAAGAAGACAAGAAATAAGAGCTGATAACACTTTCTTTAAGAAAGAAAGTATGTATGCAAGGATAAGGACACCCAGAGATACAGAAGAAAGTGCCTTATTTCTAACCAAGTACGATGCAATTGCACCATAGGGTATCTTAGCTCTCAAGAGAGATTGAGAAAACATTATATAGGAAAAAAAGAAAACCGGTTGAACTTACTTGACATCATGGCCCTGCTTGGCGTCTTGAACGAGCTGCTTCAGGCCAACCTGACTTTCACCATTCTTCTGGAATTTCTCATTTTCCTTTATGCCTGTGAGTCTGTTTGCAAATCTGCAGAAAAAACTGTGTTAAGCATATTTTACAGAAGTCAGAAGTTACAAAGGTACCTAAAGATTTTTGCTTAAAGTCAGTCCATAACCCCTCTTCTAGACGAATTATCATATCTTCAGTGCTTTTTTTCTTTTGTTGGTTTTGTTGTTGTGGGTGGGGGGAGGGGGGGCGAGTTGGTTGGGTGGGGTGCAATGTGTCTGTTGATGTGAATTCAGAAACAAGGATGCGAACCAAGAATAGATTAAGGCCACTCATACCATAACAGGGGCAACCAGAGTATGGTTCATATCTTAAGTGATTTAACCACATTTGCTGCTGCAAAGAAAATTTACTAATCTCCACAGTCAGTTTGTTTGATCTCTACTAAGAAGCATAGTGTGATACCGCCTATATAAAACGCTTTCTCAGCTTAATTGAAATGACTACCACGCAACCAAAACTTATACTGGACAAAGCAATAAAGAACAAAACTTACTGAGCTCCTTCCTGCACTACGCAATTGGTATCCTTCACTTGACCAATCTGTTGCCAACCATCATCCACAATTAGGAAACGAGGAGGAGTGCCACCTTCAGACAAGCTGCAAAGATAACCACAAAAAATTAGCAATTCATCTCCACTGAACATCAGTTCGGAAGAGCAAACGAAAGTTAGATTCATGTTTCACCTTGTAAGGCCTTCCTCAACACCCTCAGCTGTGACATCAGTGTAAAATGCATCCCATGTGCACCAACCAAACCAGTCGAGGAATGAGGGGAGCTACAAAACAACCCACCAAACATAAGATTTGAATTCCAATTTACTCCAACTACAAGACAAAGACGAGAAAAACTTTGCTTACTTTTTTCCTCTCTCGGTGGTGAAAAGTTTGCATGTGCTTCTCTACAGCTCTATTTATAATAAGAAAAGAAGAATATTATTGTCAGTCAGGAAATGGTAATTCAGTTGTGGAAAATTCAACTATGAAGACACCATGGTTGTTTTATGATAACATGGAGTCAAGCTCCAAATGCTTCTCGACCCACACCCCACGGGAAGGGGCCACAGGCATTGGAGGACCAGCATGAATAGAAAAGTGGACAAGGAGAAGTGAGGACGTACTTTACAGCCTGGTTGATGACTTCAAAAGGATTGGTCCCAGCATGAATGTAGACAAGGTAAAGTCCTTGGTTGGTTTCAACAGCATGATCTCCTGCAACAACCATACCACAAAAACAAGGTCGTTTTGGTTCTTTCGAACTCTTTCTTTTCTAAGATATGTTCCCAAATTTTATTAACTCCATTATTGATTCATTAGATGACAAGATCTAATTGGTTTCTCCAGCTTGGTCATGTCAGAGCACAGTGGACTTGGTCCCCATTTGATGATGAAGGGATGGTTCTGGCTTAATTGAAGATACGGCCTCACAAGATAGGCAAAGCAGCAAACATGTATCCTACACCAAATACTTTGGGATGGCCTGAGCCTACTCACCACTCTCAAGGCAGATCTCTAGTTCATTCTTCTCATTTCCTTGAAGGGCAGCTCGGAACTGGCCTTCAAGGAGAGGGAGGAACACAGTGTAGATGAGGGGGGCATCCTCACGCTCGCCTTCTGTCGTGTCTTTGCTCTCCACAAGCATAAACTGTGTCTCCAAAGGAATGTCCTTCCCACATGATCCCATTCTCTGAGTCATCCACCACAGCTTGAACCGGAAGCAGCACATGAAGCGGAGCCCCCTACCAAAGAAGCAAATTATAAAGATATGTACATATCTCGAAAACATAAGACAATCATCAGAGATTATAGGCATACAAAACGTTTTGAAAAAAAAAAAAAAATGGTCATCCTCCACAACATTTACTATGCTACATTGAATAATCAGTGATGCACATATTTCTCCTACCCGTTCAACTTCCTGGTACATAGCTACTTCAAAAGGTTAAGACAGTAGCAGAACCAGAAATAAGTGTTAAATTACAATTAGGGATTAGCACATGGCTCAGCTTGATACCTCAAACTAATTAGAGATTAAAGATTAACTACTTTTCCATGTACAAATTAAAGTATTCTTTGGATTTCTACAACCGGATTCAAAACTAGAAACAAGCACCAAAGAAAGCATCAGTAATAACGAGTTAATTAGCCCGATTTCTTGACCAGTACAACTTGATTAGGTTTTTACCTAATATTCCAAAAAGAAATAACATGTTGGTATGACACATGCAAGGATTAACAATCCAGAACAATGTGTTCCTACAAGCTGAACATCGAACTTTCATCCACTACCAACAAATTCAAGAGGATTTGGGTGCTTACTCTAATCCCCCAACTGGGAAAACATGCAAGCTTTTGCTGTGTTCAGCTGTGGCACCAAGAAAAGTACCCTCCAAAAGTCCCACACCTGATCCAGGAGTCAGCACAATGTTGTCAGGGACTCCCGTGAGTATGGTCTTTCCATGAACCACAAGGTCCCCGTTGTTGATGGAGATTTTTGGTGTGACCGTCATTTTCACCAACTTGGATGCTTCTTCACTATAAACTGCATCATCACAACCAGCACATAAGCTCTAGCAACAAACATAGAGCGAGCATAGAGCAGACATCATGACTAACTACTTCAGATCATCACATAAGTTCAAGCAACAACTAAGCATCTCAAATGCAACAAACAGCAAAGATAAATACTTGCCTTAAGGACTTTTATCTTGATTATCTATAGCTATTACAAGTTCATCTTATATTAACTCAATTTGATCATGTCAAGATATGATTGTAGCCGCAGCCAAGTGAGCCGGTCAAACTTTACCGCCTGGCTAACGAATCAGGCGCCAAGCCGACACGGCGACGTCGACATTATCTACCGCCACGGTTGGACTAAAAAGCAATAATGATACAACAAAGTTGAGGGTCCAAACTAAAAATTTTTTCCATCAGTAGAAAACAAAGACGGACCTTTTTCTTGAAAATAACAAGAGCACGAATAAAAGTAGTAAAATAAGGTGACAAAAAGGCCTTTTTATTGGAGCAAACAGCTTGTGAAAATAGGAATATGTGAATTAAAGGCGGCCAAAATAGAGAATATTCCCACTGGAGTGATGACAAACAAATCATTTTGCACTTTTGATGGGAGTGGTAAGAAGAGAAAATTTGACTAGAGAGCAAGGGCATTTTTGTCAATGAAACGCTGTAAAAACATCCGAATCTACTAAAACTGGAAAGATCCGCTGATGCCAACTAAAATGAACTGTAAAGAATATTCAAGCAGTGGTTGAGGAGGAAAATATGAAAGAATCCAAGGGTAATTTCGTCAAATAAGTTAAATAATTAGTATATAGGTTGTTCACCGTCGAGTAGCGACAAAACTCTCCGATCAGAACGACGGCGGTTTAACCTCAACTGCTCCTTTAAAAGTTAAAATCAAAGCTGGAGCTGAGGATTCATAGCAGGGTAATATTCTACTAGTTGCTGAAAAAACCATGGTAGGAACGGTAAATTCGAAGAGAATAAAAGGGCATACTAGTCAAATCATCCAAACTACTCCCGAAATTTAAAATTTCTGCGCGAAAATTGAGAAAAAGAAATAGAAAGAATTAAAGTGGGAATATTCATCTAAATCACCTCTTGAACATCTTAATATCTTCCCAAAGAAAAAACTTCGAGCTGAAGATCGAACCGAAGGTAAAACGCTAGCCCAACGAAGAACCATTTACAGTAAAATTTTCTTCAGAGAAAGAGGAAATTCTCTGGAGGTTTGTTCTTCCCACAGAAATTAAGATCTCAGACAATATAAGATTAAAAAATATCTACTTTCTGAAAACTTTGTATAGATTTTCCAACACAGGAGGAGGCAAGAATCACTAGCTAATCCTAGAAATTCAAATTGAACCATATATAGCAGGTGGGATTTTGAAGTTATCAAACATTTTCAAATCCTAGGTGTTTAAGATTCCTGCGAAAAGGGAAAACATGAAAATGAACACTTGGGTAATTTTTCCTAGTAAACTTTCGGCCCTTTTCATGCATAAACATGCACAGAACAAACAACTGTAATCCAAACAGCTCAAAAGAATCAACTCAGACGCCATAAAATCATGTCTAGAAAATCTCACTGGCATCTTATCTCACCAAGTCAATTTGTAGTACTATTTCTCCACTCAAAAAGAATCCCAAAAACTCACCTTAAAAAGCTTTCCTCTGTTGAAGCTTGGTTGATCAAGATGGAAATTCAAAGTTTCAAGACGAAGAAATTTGCTCAGCAGAAGTGCACTCCAGACGGGAATGCGAGCTTCTTTTGAGAAGGACAAAGAAAAAGAGAAGCAGATGTAGCCAGAGCCCGGTAGAATTAGAATGCTCTTTAACAATGGGGTGACTCGATGAAAGAGTTGGGGAGGTTTTTATAGTCCTCCTTGGTGGTAAATGTCGAACAAGCTTCCCCAGGAAAGCTAGTTAGGTGTTGACACGTGTACCACTGTTACTAGTGCTTAATAGTATCTTAATTAGTATTTTTAGTTTATCTTTTTTTATTTGTTTTGATTACTATTTTTAGTTTATCTTTTTTTTTCATGATTGTCTCCACCATGGATAACAAAAAAAGTGATTACTCGATAGCATAAAAAGTATTTTTTTTAACTTTAGATGCTTTATACTATTTTTATAATTAATATTTATACTAATTATGAATTAATCTAAATTTACATTAATAGTGTATACATCTTCTAATTTAGTTACGTGAGAAAAAAAATCTCAATTTGAGATTGAATTTCCTTGTTTGGATTGCTTGTTTCCGTTGGAAAATATTGTCGTTTTCCGTGATCACATTTTCCTATCACCTTTTTCCCTCACATATATCAAATCGCTACAGTAATTTTTCCATAAAAAATGACGGAAAATGCAATCCAAACACAACCTACACATACGTGGTGATGATCCGTTAATATATGTATTAATGTGTAGTGTAAGAAAGACTAATTCATAGTCAATTGCACGTTACGATGCATATACATTACATCTTTTATCCCACTTTGATAGTTTTATTTTATTTTGTTATCCGTCACAAATTATAATTCACATTTCAATTGAAAAACATAATTAACTTTTAATTTTTCTAAAATACCTTTATCTTATGTACTTTCTTATCATTGAATATAACTTATTTTATTCAATAATTGCCCTAATTCATATCTTGAATGATGAAACTTTTCATCAGTGTTATTATTGTAATTAATATAAAGGTATAATGACTAATCATACTCCCAATATTAGTGCGAGATATTTTAGAAAAACAGTATATTAGATTTATTTTTTCAATAAAGTTAACTATTCTCTCTATCCCATATTAGATTTTTTTTTGTTTCACACACTTTAAAAAAAATTAATTAACTTTGTTGGAATTGTAAGTCTAGCCTATTGTTTTTTTTTTAAATATCCTTACATTAATATTAAGAGTATGATTAATCATTATACCTTTACATTAATAACAAAAACAATAATATTATGAAAAGTTGCACTATTCAAGGCAATTAATGCATAATGTAAATTAAAATAAAAATATTTTAAATAAGTTATAAGTTAACGATATTTTTCAATTGAAAAGTGAATCATAATTTAAAACAGATGAAAAATAAAAATAAAATTATTAAAGTGAGTCGGAGTAAGTAATTTTTCTCGTACTGTGTGAACAAAATTCAAGACCATGAAAGCGAGACAAAGGGCGTACCGCGTACGTCATAGTAATGAATCTGTCAATTATTGAGAGCCCTGTTGCAGTTTACTGTGCAGAGAGTGGCTGCAGAATTGCGCAAGTTTGTATTTATGAATCAGCAGGTCAGGAGCAAGTTGGGGAGTTTGATGTGATCAGCAATTGGATGCGGACCTCTGTTTACTGACCAAATTTGATTGCTAACTTGGAGTTATTATGTGCAATTGGATATGAATGATGGCTTGCAATTATCTTTTTCTGTTTGAAATTCTCTTCTTCTTCTTTTTTTTTTTTTGCCTTTTCTTTTTCCATTTCCTTGAGTTTTTGTAACTTCATGCCACCTATGTCTATGTTCATTTTTGTGTACTTTTTTTGGTTTCCAAATTGCAGCTAAAACAAATGCTCTCATATTAAGTAAAAGCCAAGGGAAAGGAACACACTTTTTTTTATGTGTTTAGGGAATAGGAATTAGGGGGAAAAAATTCTAATTGGACTGATCAAAACAAGAAATTAAGTCGACAAGATTTTATTTTCTTGGAAATTATTGGAGACAATTGGTGGAAATAATTCACATGCAGAATTTTTATTTTTTTTTTTGTTTTATGTGGCGAAGATTAAAGGTTATAGAAAATTCAAAATCTTGGTAGCTTTAACAAATGAACAGCGTCCATTCCAGCTGTTTAATGAATGTTTTAGCATCTAACTAAAATATTTTAGTTCAATTGGTGTTGAGATATATACTGAAACTCTGATAAATGGAGGCACTTACTTGGAATGGTCCTAAATTAGTGAACCACACATTTTTCATCATCATATTATAGTTTTACACCATCTGCTATTAAGCTGTCTTTCTTTTTTTTCTTGAGTAATATATAATAGTTTTGTACAGTTTAAGCAGAAGTAAGAGTTGAATAAGGATAGTACTTTAGTTACCTAAATAAGCAAAAAGTGTAATTTGTTGAGGTATCAACTTGTTAAGTGCATCATTTAAAACTTCTTGATTGTGACTTTTCACCTTCTACAAATTTTCTTAATGAAATTTTAAACCTCCTCTGTCGTCTTTAAACTAAGTACTCATCACTTGTCTAGTCTGACATTTATATCTTTTCCAATGTTAAAGCAAGATTTCTCTTTGTAAGAATTTTTATAAAAAAAATATATATATGTTATATCGAGTTAGTATATGTGAGGTAAAAAATAATAATTGATAAATGTATTCACAACAAACGTAAAAAAAAACTTCTGTAAAAAAAGCAGCAATCCAAATAGGGCACAGTCTTTAACCACGTTTATGTGTGATACATGATTCTAGAGGTTTTTATCACATTATCCACTCGTCCAAAAACAAAAAAGTTCGGATGAAGAATTGATCTTAGCTTAAATGCCTTGATTCCATTGAGTATTCAACAAGTGCATGAGGAAGAAAAGGGCCTTATCACTGAATAATGTCTGATTCCAAAGCTATACAACTTCGTAACCTGGACTAATATTAGCCACCAGTCATTGAGGATTTCAATTATGATGCCTTCTTTTATTCCTAAAGAGGCATTATTCTTTGATCATTGAAGCTTCGTATGTGTTAGCTAGCCACTTTATCTTTAATAAGTGCATGTGATAATTTGGATAATTTAGGGGTAATGAAGTTGAACTGGAATAAATTAATCAGCGAATCATGAATCTTGAATAACTGACTGGCGCATAATGTCCTTTTTTTTTATATTTTTTTCTGAGGCGTGTATGAGATGCATATATGGCTATATGTTCTCTTCTCAAGTCTGAGAGGACATTTATTCTCCCAAAATAGATGCTTTATTTAGTACATATCCACGAAAAAATACGCGCACACACGCGCACAGCGAAAGCAATTTTGACGCATATAAAAATATGTGGGAAAAGGAGGAAAATAAATGCTCAACAAATCCTCGATAATTTTATTAAACTCAAACTTAACAATAACAATATCAAACAATAACCTTTCGTTTATGACAACTCACAAATCTCAACTCTAAGGCTTTCTCTCAAACCTATTTTCAAAACTCAACTCAACTCTTCAAATAATAACTTACTAGACTAGTGCTGTTTATAAAACTCCAAAACTTCCTAAAACAAATACAATTATAGATCGAAACTTATTTGGAAATTGATTTGAGATTTCCTAATCTAATATAAAAACTTAACAAATAAGATACAAAAATGAATTAAGACACTAAATGCTAAAATCGATTGGTTTAATTTCCTTCAGAAAAAACGCGTTTGCTAGTTTGGATGATCAAACTCTTTGACTGACTTAAATGGAAATAGAAAGCTTGTCGAATAGAAGCTGAAATATTCTTGTGCATGCATATTGGTGGTAAGTAAATGTTTTCATGCATCAAACATAAGTAGTGGCCCAAGTGAGAGAGTTTTACCATATCACATTACTAGATAAAACTACTTGAACAATCTATTTCAATGAGATAATTAATACAGATAAATTGTGCAGTCAACAACCTGATTTTTTTTTTTTTTTTTTTTGTAAATTTCAAGCTCCGATCTTATCATTTAACCCAACTCTCCCATATCAACCTGTCTAATTGTTGTATGTCTTTATCAATTGTAAGAGATCGAGAAGAATCAATATCTAACACACTATTTAGCTAACTTTATAATGGAAACTTGTACCACACAATTGAAATTTGCCGTCAATCAATAAAAGGAAACATATATACGAGAGCCAAACCTAATATCCGGTGGACATGAATAAGAAATCTTAAGTGAATTAGCAAAGCATTACCTAAGTACGTAAATTCAGTTAGTTCCCAACTAGTCACAAAATAAGAAGGGACAACATCGCTTGGTAATGGGAATTTCACCAAATGAAGTATGTATGACCCTTTCTTTATGGTTTTACATAATTTTGGCAACGGTGAACACATTAATCTTCTTTTCCCTTTCCCTTTAGTTAGTCCCTAATTAATCACTCCTCTTTGTGTCGAGTTCATTAATGGAAACACAACATATCACTCAACCAAACACGAAATTCCTTCTTTTAGGTAAGTAATACAAGAGCTTGATAATGGACTGCTAGAAAAGATAACATATGATCTAGAGTAGAGTCCCTTTATGTTTGATTGTTTTGCTTCTAGACTCTTCTTCTATCCAAGAACAGGAAAAAACCAAAGGTTGAGACGATTGTCGTCCTCAAAATGAAGTAAGCCACCAATAATAAGGGTTAAATAAGATGAGCAAGCTGATTAGTTATAAATTTGATCATGTGAAAGTGGGTCCATGTCAAAATTAACGTGGGCTAATTAAAATTTCCCACGTACGAAATCGGAGTAGACAATAATTAATACCTAAATTAGTTGTCGTGAAGAAATTTGCCATGTCAGCTGAATACCCGGAGGAAATGCCACATCATCAGGGATGGCAACGGGGCGGGGTTGGGGCGGGGGACCCCTCCCCTGTCCCCCGCCCCGTTGCCTATTAGTTCCCCCCGTCCCCCGCCTCCCGCTCCCCCCGCGGGGTTAATAAAATTTTATTATATAATTTTATTATAATTAAATTTTAATAAATAATCAAATACTAAAATATCAACACATCACCAAATTATTATTCATTGTAATTTTACAATTGAAACTCATAAAAACAATCAAACAGAAGTTATTTGAATACAATCCAATATGATGAAATAAA